GAGAGATGGGGTTTAAGCATACCCTAGACAAAAGTAGATGCCCAGCATTGAAAAATTCTATGAATGTGCGGGGGTACAGGAATAGGTAGCACCCAGAAAAGGTACAATATTTTAGTTAGGATTGTAATTTTTATTATGATAATTATCCCCATCCACACTAGTGGAAGAGTGGACAATTTGGTCAATAGGTTTGTGAGATCGGTTAACATGGGGGTAATTGGTAGCATATAAATCAGTGTGGTCAGCAATCAGCTTAACTCCCAAATATGAAATGTGATGCGATGACCATGTGAACAGCAAAGCAGCCTGCACCTGGGGAAGGACAGAGACTGGCAAGGAAATATTGAGTGCCACTGATTTGGGGATTCATTACCAAGCCCAAAACATTTGTTTAACTGATCGAGTATCCAGAGATTGGGGGCAGAAGTGAGAACATGAAAACCAGGACATCATCTGCAAATAAAAAAAGTTTATGATGATGATGACCTCCAAGTTCTAGTCCTTTATAATCGGGGTCCACACAAATTCAATGAGCCAGTGGCTCTATTGCTAAAACAAAAAGGAGCAGGGAGACGGGCATTCATGACTCCTGTCTCCAAATAAAAGGGTCAGATTTATGGCAGATTTTATTTCAAATATGCTCTGGGGTTTTCATGGAGAGATGAAATCCAGTTAAAGAAGTGTGGACCAAAGCCCTAACGATATAATTAGAGATGAGCGAATCGAAGTTGGCGAAGTGGAATTCGTTTCGAAGATTAGGAAAAATTCGATTTTCCAAAAAATGGTGGCGACATGTGTGGCGACGGAGCGGGGATCTCTGGGAAGGCGCGCAGGCAAGGCGCGCTGACCCATAATGCATTCATTCATGACATGTGATCGCATTAGCCAATCAGCAGCCAGCCAGCCAGCACTGTGTAATGGTCGAGCTATAAATTGCGGCCATCTTAGAATTCTCCATTAGCCTCCGGTCATTCAAGAGAGACAGACCTCTCTGTATTAGGGACAGAGTTAGGGCCAAAGAGACTTTAGGGCCACAGAATCGTTACTTAGGGACACAGAATTGTTACTCAGGGACACAGAATTGTTACTCAGGGACACAGAACTGTTACTCAGGGACACAGAATTGTTACTCAGGGACAGACACAGAATTGTTACTGAGGGACACAGAATTGTTACTGAGGGACACAGAATTGTTACTGAGGGACACAGAATTGTTACTCAGGGACACAGAATTGTTACTCAGGACACAGAATTGTTACTCAGGGACACAGAACTGTTACTCAGGGACACAGAATTGTTACTCAGGGACACAGAACTGTTACTCAGGGACACAGAATTGTTACTCAGGGGACACAGAATTGTTACTGAGGGACACAGAATTGTTACTCTGAGGGACACAGAATTGTTACTGAGGGACACAGAATTGTTACTCAGGGACACAGAATTGTTACTGAGGGACACAGAATTGTTACTGGGGACACAGAATTGTTACTGAGGGACACAGAATTGTTACTCAGGGACACAGAATTGTTACTCAGGGACACAGAATTGTTACTCAGAAATTGGGACAGACACAGAATTGTTACTGAGGGACACAGAATTGTTACTGAGGGACACAGAATTGTTACTCAGGGACACAGAACAGGGACACAGAATTGTTACTCAGGGACACAGAATTGTTTACTCAGGGACACAGAATTGTTACTCAGGGACACAGAATTGTTACTCAGGGACACAGAATTGTTACTCAGGGGGAAGACACAGAATTGTTACTCAGGGACACACAGAATTGTTACTCAGGGACACAGAATTGTTACTGAGGGGGACACAGAATTGTTACTGAGGGACACAGAATTGTTACTCAGGGACAGACACAGAATTGTTACTGAGGGACACAGAATTGTTACTGAGGGACACAGAATTGTTACTCAGGGACACAGAATTGTTACTCAGGGGGACACAGAATTGTTACTCAGGGACACAGAATTGTTACTCAGGGACACAGAATTGTTACTCAGGGACACAGAATTGTTACTCAGGGACACAGAATTGTTACTCAGGGAGGGACACAGAATTGTTACTGAGGGACACAGAATTGTTACTGAGGGACAGACACAGAATTGTTACTGAGGGACACAGAATTGTTACTGAGGGACACAGAATTGTTACTCAGGGACACAGAATTGTTACTCAGGGACACAGAATTGTTACTCAGGGACACAGAATTGTTACTGAGGGACACAATTGAATTGTTACTGAGGGACACAGAATTGTTACTCAGGGGACACAGAATTGTTACTGAGGGACACAGAATTGTTACTGAGGGACACAGAATTGTTACTGAGGGACACAGAATTGTTACTCAGGGACACAGAATTGTTACTGAGGGACACAGAATTGTTACTCAGGGACACAGAATTGTTACTGAGGGACACAGAATTGTTACTCAGGGACACAGAATTGTTACTCAGGGACACAGAATTGTTACTCAGGGACACAGAATTGTTACTCAGGGACACAGAATTGTTACTCAGGGACACAGAATTGTTACTCTGGGGACACAGAATTGTTACTCAGGGACAGACACAGAATTGTTACTGAGGGACACAGAATTGTTACTCAGGGACACAGAATTGTTACTCAGGGACACAGAATTGTTACTCAGGGACACAGATTGTTACTCAGGGACACAGAATTGTTACTCAGGGACACAGAATTGTTACTCAGGGACACAGAATTGTTACTCAGGGACAGACACAGAATTGTTACTGAGGGACACAGAATTGTTACTGAGGGACACAGAATTGTTACTCAGGGGACACAGAATTGTTACTCAGGGACACAGAATTGTTACTCAGGGGACACAGAATTGTTACTCAGGGGACACAGAATTGTTACTCAGGGACACAGAATTGTTACTCAGGGACACAGAATTGTTACTCAGGGACACAGAATTGTTACTCAGGGACACACAGAATTGTTACTCAGGGACACAGAATTGTTACTCAGGGACACAGAATTGTTACTCAGGGGACAGACACAGAATTGTTACTGAGGGACACAGAATTGTTACTGGGACACAGAATTGTTACTCAGGGACACAGAATTGTTACTCAGGGACAGACACAGAATTGTTACTCAGGGACACAGAATTGTTACTCAGGGACACAGAATTGTTACTCAGGGACACAGAATTGTTACTCAGGGACACAGAATTGTTACTCAGGGACACAGAATTGTTACAGGGACACAGGGTTACAGGGACACAGAATTGTTACTCAGGGACACAGAATTGTTACTCAGGGACACAGAATTGTTACTCAGGGACACAGAATTGTTACTGAGGGACACAGAATTGTTACTGAGGGACACAGAATTGTTACTCAGGGACAGACACAGAATTGTTACTGAGGGACACAGAATTGTTACTCAGGGACACAGAATTGTTACTCAGGGACACAGAATTGTTACTCAGGGACACAGAATCGTTGAATTAAAGAGTATGTCAGACAACACGCAGAGGAGTGGCAGAGGAGGCAATGTTTCAGGAGCGAGCAGACGTGGCAGCAGAGGAAGGGGTCGAGGCAGCACTAGTCGCAGCCAGAGGCCAGTGCTCCGGTGTCATCCAGCGGTCGTGTCTCCACCGACAACCCTGCCGTCATCGATTGGTTGGCTCGGTCGTCATCTTCCTCTTCCCAGGTCACCTCTGACACCTACAGCCAACGGTCGGTGGGTACGTCAGACACAACCGTTAGTTGGCATGGCCCGGGAGCAAGCCCACTGAAATCACGTGTCCTCTACCTGCCCTGTCCTTTGGTGTTCCCTCACCAAGCGAAGTATCGCATGCTGTGGGCTCAGCCCCACTGTACAGTGAGGAAGAGCTAACAGAGGGCGGTCGACTCAGGAAACGGGGGGAGACATCCGCCTCTTCAGCAGCCAGGCGAAGAAGTACTGGCGAGGAGAGTGGCTCGGTAGCCGGTCTAGAGACAGGTCTGTCTCCTGACCCACACGCAGCCGAGGGGGCTAGTAGTGAGGCGGAGACCCTAATTGATGATGATGAGGCTGATCGCACTTGGCAGCCTCGTCGTCATCAGGCTATTGCTTCCGCATCATCAGGAGAAGAGGGTGCCAGCTTGGCAGCGAGCAAAACAGTCGGTGGGTTGCCCAGGGAGGCAGCAGGGTCGCAGCAGTGTCAGTGGAGGCAAACGGCCACGGAGTAGAGCACCAGCTCCACTGCAGCCTACCACCACGGCCAGTAGTGGTGCCGGTGTGCACGGAGGAAGTAGCAGTCAGCCAGTGAGGAGTAGCGGGGGCAAAGTTTCCTACTCGGCATTGCGGTGTGGCAATTTTTCGTCACAGCCGCCCGAGGAAGTAAACGTAGCCGTATGTCGACTATGTGGCCAGAAAGTCAAGCGTGGCCAGGGGGCCCATGTCTCCATCGCCACACTCTGCCATGTGCCACTTTCAGGTCTCCTCACACTGCTGGTGGGTTCCATTTTGTCATAGGGTGCTGGCAGATTACGGGCCTCCCATTGCTGCTGCCAGGCCCGTAATCTGTCATGGGCCCCTGTACCGCCTCCTCATGCTGCTGCCAGGTCCAGAGTGTCTGTCATGGGTCCCTGTACGGCCTCCCATTGCTGCTGTCTCCATCGCCACACTCTGCCATGTGCCACTTTCAGGTCTCCTCACACTGCTGGTGGGTTCCATTTTGTCATAGGGTGCTGGCAGATTACGGGCCTCCCATTGCTGCTGCCAGGCCCGTAATCTGCCATGGGCCCCTGTACCGCCTCCTCATGCTGCTGCCAGGCCCGTAATCTGTCATGGGTCCCTGTACGGCCTCCCATTGCTGCTGTCTCCATCGCCACACTCTGCCATGTGCCACTTTCAGGTCTCCTCACACTGCTGGTGGGTTCCATTTTGTCATAGGGTGCTGGCAGATTACGGGCCTCCCATTGCTGCTGCCAGGCCCGTAATCTGCCATGGGCCCCTGTACCGCCTCCTCATGCTGCTGCCAGGTCCAGAGTGTCTCATGGGTCCCTGTACGGCCTCCCATTGCTGCTGTCTCCATCGCCACACTCTGCCATGTGCCACTTTCAGGTCTCCTCACACTGCTGGTGGGTTCCATTTTGTCATAGGGTGCTGGCAGATTACGGGCCTCCCATTGCTGCTGCCAGGCCCGTAATCTGCCATGGGCCCCCGTACCGCCTCCTCATGCTGCTGCCAGGTCCGTAGTGTGTCATGGGTCCCTGTACGGCCTCCCATTGCTGCTGTCTCCATCGCCACACTCTGCCATGTGCCACTTTCAGGTCTCCTCACACTGCTGGTGGGTTCCATTTTGTCATAGGGTGCTGGCAGATTACGGGCCTCCCATTGCTGCTGCCAGGCCCGTAATCTGCCATGGGCCCCTGTACCGCCTCCTCATGCTGCTGCCAGGGCCCAGAGTGTCTCATGGGTCCCTGTACGGCCTCCCATTGCTGCTGTCTCCATCGCCACACTCTGCCATGTGCCACTTTCAGGTCTCCTCACACTGCTGGTGGGTTCCATTTTGTCATAGGGTGCTGGCAGATTACGGGCCTCCCATTGCTGCTGCCAGGCCCGTAATCTGCCATGGGCCCCTGTACCGCCTCCTCATGCTGCTGCCAGGTCCAGAGTGTGTCATGGGTCCCTGTACGGCCTCCCATTGCTGCTGTCTCCATCGCCACACTCTGCCATGTGCCACTTTCAGGTCTCCTCACACTGCTGGTGGGTTCCATTTTGTCATAGGGTGCTGGCAGATTACGGGCCTCCCATTGCTGCTGCCAGGCCCGTAATCTGCCATGGGCCCCTGTACCGCCTCCTCATGCTGCTGCCAGGTCCAGTAAGTGTCTCATGGGTCCCTGTACGGCCTCCCATTGCTGCTGTCTCCATCGCCACACTCTGCCATGTGCCACTTTCAGGTCTCCTCACACTGCTGGTGGGTTCCATTTTGTCATAGGGTGCTGGCAGATTACGGGCCTCCCATTGCTGCTGCCAGGCCCGTAATCTGCCATGGGCCCCTGTACCGCCTCCTCATGCTGCTGCCAGGTCCAGAGTGTCTCATGGGTCCCTGTACGGCCTCCCATTGCTGCTGTCTCCATCGCCACACTCTGCCATGTGCCACTTTCAGGTCTCCTCACACTGCTGGTGGGTTCCATTTTGTCATGGGTGCTGGCAGATTACGGGCCTCCCATTGCTGCTGCCAGGCCCGTAATCTGCCATGGGCCCCTGTACCGCCTCCTCATGCTGCTGCCAGGTCCAGAGTCTCTGTCATGGGTCCCTGTACGGCCTCCCATTGCTGCTGTCTCCATCGCCACACTCTGCCATGTGCCACTTTCAGGTCTCCTCACACTGCTGGTGGGGTTCCATTTTGTCATAGGGTGCTGGCAGATTACGGGCCTCCCATTGCTGCTGCCAGGCCCGTAATCTGCCATGGGCCCCTGTACCGCCTCCTCATGCTGCTGCCAGGTCCAGAGTCTGTCATGGGTCCCTGTACGGCCTCCCATTGCTGCTGTCTCCATCGCCACACTCTGCCATGTGCCACTTTCAGGTCTCCTCACACTGCTGGTGGGTTCCATTTTGTCATAGGGTGCTGGCAGATTACGGGCCTCCCATTGCTGCTGCCAGGCCCGTAATCTGTCATGGGCCCCTGTACGCCTCCTCCTCATGCTGCTGCCAGGTCCCAGAGTCTGTCATGGGTCCCTGTACGGCCTCCCATTGCTGCTGTCTCCATCGCCACACTCTGCCATGTGCCACTTTCAGGTCTCCTCACACTGCTGGTGGGTTCCATTTTGTCATAGGGTGCTGGCAGATTACGGGCCTCCCATTGCTGCTGCCAGGCCCGTAATCTGCCATGGGCCCCTGTACCGACTCCTCATGCTGCTGCCGTTGCAACAAGGTGGAATTCATGGGTACCTGTACGGCCTCCCTTTACTGAACTGCGAAAGGCCATCACTCGATTTCCATGTTACAGCGGATAAAGGTACTCCCCTGTGTAACTTAGATGTCAGCCATTGGCAGCTCATGCGTGACACCTGCCGCTTGCTCAGGCCCTTTGAGTGCTGGCCACGCTATTCGTGAGTCGGCAGGACTATGGGATGAACGACGTCATTCCTCTGTTGCACGTCCTGGAACAAATGCTGTTAACAATGCTGCCTGGTCAGGGTGCGGTAGACGTGGCGCACAGATCTCAACGCCACATGACCCCTGTGGGGGCAGGACAGGAAGAAGAGGAGGAGGTAGAGGAGGACATTGGTGCTCAGGAATTATTGAGTGAAATGGGTGGTTTTTCCACTCAGCGGACAGGAGTCCCATTGGAGCAGGAGCATCTGGTAGAGGAGGAGGAGGCTCCTCACAGAGGACCCAGACGCACCGTGGCAGTATGCTGTGGAGATGGAGGCAGGGAGTCCCTCGCATTCCTTGGCCAAATGGCCCATAGCATGCTCGGTTGCTTGCGTAGCGACAGCCGAATAATACCATCAGACAGAGGGATCCCTTTTGGCTGTCCACCTTGTTGGACCCTCGCTACCGTTCGCCAAAATGGTGGCTTTTTCACACCTGCTGAGAGGGAGGCCAAAATAACGTACTATAAAAACCACCTATGTAGTCAGTTGGTCTCTGCCTTTCTGCGCCAACGTCCCATCCTCAGACACTGTGGGCCCTGTGCGCTCGCTCCGTTCCGCTGCCATGGCAGCAGGGGAGGGGTGGGGTGGTAGGAGCAGTGGCCAGCTCCACCAGCAGCGGCTGCCTCAGTCTGCAGTCGATGATGAGTAGCTTTCTTCACCAGCGCAGTGAGGAAACTACTAACCCAGCCGCAGCAGCAGCAGCAGCATCAGGTGGACCTGGAGCAGGACCTCAAACAACAGGCTTGGGCCTACTTGGACAGCACCCTGCCAACCGAGGTAGACAATCCCCTTGACTACTGGGCAACGAAACTTGACCTTTGGCCCCAACTAGCTGAATTTGCCCTTGAAAGGCTGTCATGCCCGGCCAGTAGCGTGGCATCGGAGCGCGTGTTTAGTGCGGCAGGAGGTATTGTAACTCCGCGGAGGACACGACGACTGTCCACCCAAAGTGTGGAGAGACTCACGTTTGTGAAAATGAATCAGGCGTGGATTAGTCTGGATTTCAAACCACCAGTTCCTGACACAACTGACTAAATGCCATGAATCATGCCCCACACTCTGCCATGTCACTTTCAGGTCTCCTCACTGCTGGTAGGTGTGTTTTATTATTTTTAACATTAGGCCTCTGTATGGCCTGGCAGATTTACGGGCCCTCCAAGCTGCTGCCAGGCCGTCGCCATCTGCCATGGGCCCCTGTACCGCCTCCTCTCATGCTGCTGCCAGGTCCAGAGTGTCTCATGGGTCCCTGTACGGCCTCCCATTGCTGCTGTCTCCATCGCCACACTCTGCCATGTGCCACTTTCAGGTCTCCTCACACTGCTGGTGGGTTCATTTTTGTCATAGGGTGCTGGCAGATTACGGGCCTCCCATTGCTGCTGCCAGGCCCGTAATCTGCCATGGGCCCCCGTACCGCCTCCTCATGCTGCTGCTGCCATGGGGTCCAGAGTCTCTCATGGGTCCCTGTACGGCCTGTACGGCCTCCATTGCTGCTGTCTCCATCGCCACACTCTGCCATGTGCCACTTTCAGGTCTCCTCACACTGCTGGTGGGTTCCATTTTGTCATAGGGTGCTGGCAGATTACGGGCCTCCCATTGCTGCTGCCAGGCCCGTAATCTGCCATGGGCCCCTGTACCGCCTCCTCATGCTGCTGCCAGGTCCAGAGTGTCTCATGGGTCCCTGTACGGCCTCCCATTGCTGCTGTCTCCATCGCCACACTCTGCCATGTGCCACTTTCAGGTCTCCTCACACTGCTGGGTGGGTTCCATTTTGTCATAGGGTGCTGGCAGATTACGGGCCTCCCATTGCTGCTGCCAGGCCCCGTAATCTGCCATGGGCCCCCGTACCGCCTCCTCATGCTGCTGCCAGGTCCAGAGTGTCTCATGGGTCCCTGTACGGCCTCCCATTGCTGCTGTCTCCATCGCCACACTCTGCCATGTGCCACTTTCAGGTCTCCTCACACTGCTGGTGGGTTCCATTTTTTGTCATAGGGTGCTGGCAGATTACGGGCCTCCCATTGCTGCTGCCAGGCCCGTAATCTGCCATGGGCCCCTGTACCGCCTCCTCATGCTGCTGCCAGGTCCAGAGTGTCTCATGGGTCCCTGTACGGCCTCCCATTGCTGCTGTCTCCATCGCCACACTCTGCCATGTGCCCTTCAGGTCTCCTCACACTGCTGGTGTGTTCCATTTTTTGTCATAGGGTGCTGGCAGATTACGGGCCTCCCATTGCTGCTGCCAGGCCCGTAATCTGCCATGGGCCCCTGTACCGCCTCTCTCATGCTGCTGCCAGGTCCAGAGTGTCTCATGGGTCCCTGTACGGCCTCCCATTGCTGCTGTCTCCATCGCCACACTCTGCCATGTGCCACTTTCAGGTCTCCTCACACTGCTGGTGGGTTCCATTTTGTCATAGGGTGCTGGCAGATTACGGGCCTCCCATTGCTGCTGCCAGGCCCGTAATCTGCCATGGGCCCCCTGTACCGCCTCCTCATGCTGCTGCCAGGTCCAGAGTGTCTCATGGGTCCCTGTACGGCCTCCCATTGCTGCTGTCTCCATCGCCACACTCTGCCATGTGCCACTTTCAGGTCTCCTCACACTGCTGGTGGGTTCCATTTTGTCATAGGGTGCTGGCAGATTACGGGCCTCCCATTGCTGCTGCCCAGGCCCGTAATCTGCCATGGGCCCCCGTACCGCCTCCTCATGCTGCTGCCAGGTCCAGAGTCTCTCATGGGTCCCTGTACGGCCTCCCATTGCTGCTGTCTCCATCGCCACACTCTGCCATGTGCCACTTTCAGGTCTCCTCACACTGCTGGTGGGTTCCATTTTGTCATAGGGTGCTGGCAGATTACGGGCCTCCCATTGCTGCTGCCAGGCCCGTAATCTGCCATGGGCCCCTGTACCGCCTCCTCATGCTGCTGCCAGGTCCAGAGTGTCTCATGGGTCCCTGTACGGCCTCCCATTGCTGCTGTCTCCATCGCCACACTCTGCCATGTGCCACTTTCAGGTCTCCTCACACTGCTGGTGGGTTCCATTTTGTCATAGGGTGCTGGCAGATTACGGGCCTCCCATTGCTGCTGCCAGGCCCGTAATCTGCCATGGGCCCCTGTACCGCCTCCTCATGCTGCTGCCAGGTCCAGAGTCTGTCATGGGTCCCTGTACGGCCTCCCATTGCTGCTGTCTCCATCGCCACACTCTGCCATGTGCCACTTTCAGGTCTCTCACACTGCTGGTGGGTTCCATTTTTGTCATAGGGTGCTGGCAGATTACGGGCCTCCCATTGCTGCTGCCAGGCCCGTAATCTGCCATGGCCCCTGTACCGCCTCCTCATGCTGCTGCCAGGTCCAGAGTGTCTCATGGGTCCCTGTACGGCCTCCCATTGCTGCTGTCTCCATCGCCACACTCTGCCATGTGCCACTTTCAGGTCTCCTCACACTGCTGGTGGGTTCCATTTTGTCATAGGGTGCTGGCAGATTACGGGCCTCCCATTGCTGCTGCCAGGCCCGTAATCTGCCATGGGCCCCTGTACCGCCTCCTCATGCTGCTGCCAGGTCCAGAGTCTGTCATGGGTCCCTGTACCTACATGGGGCCGGCCTCCCATTGCTGCTGTCTCCATCGCCACACTCTGCCATGTGCCACTTTCAGGTCTCCTCACACTGCTGGTGGGTTCCATTTTGTCATAGGGTGCTGGCAGATTACGGGCCTCCCATTGCTGCTGCCAGGCCCGTAATCTGCCATGGGCCCCCGTACCGCCTCCTCATGCTGCTGCCAGGTCCAGAGTGTGTCTCATGGGTCCCTGTACGGCCTCCCATTGCTGCTGTCTCCATCGCCACACTCTGCCATGTGCCACTTTCAGGTCTCCTCACACTGCTGGTGGGTTCCATTTTGTCATAGGGTGCTGGCAGATTACGGGCCCCTCCCATTGCTGCTGCCAGGCCCGTAATCTGCCATGGGCCCCTGTACCGCCTCCTCATGCTGCTGCCAGGTCCAGAGTCTGTCATGGGTCCCTGTACGGCCTCCCATTGCTGCTGTCTCCATCGCCACACTCTGCCATGTGCCACTTTCAGGTCTCCTCACACTGCTGGTGGGTTCCATTTTGTCATAGGGTGCTGGCAGATTACGGGCCTCCCATTGCTGCTGCCAGGCCCGTAATCTGCCATGGGCCCCTGTATTCAACCCTACATATGTTAGACCGCCTTTACGAACAGCGAAAGGCCATCACCGATTTCCTGATGTTACAAGCGGATAAAGGTACTCCCTGTGTAACTTAGATGTCAGCCATTGGCAGCTCATGCGTGACACACCTGCCGCTTGCTCAGGCCCTTTGAGGAGGCCACGCTATTCGTGAGTCGGCAGGACTATGGGGATGAACGACGTCATTCCTCTGTTGCACGTCCTGGAACAAATGCTGTTAAACAATGGCTGGTCAGGGTGCGGTAGTACCGTGGCGCACAGATCTCAACGCCACATGACCCCTGTGGGGGCAGGACAGGAAGAAGAGGAGGAGGTAGAGGAGGACATTGGTGCTCAGGAATTATTGAGTGAAATGGGTGGTTTTTCCACTCAGCGGACAGGAGTGGAGGAGCAGGAGCATCTGGTAGAGGAGGAGGAGGAGACAGAGGACCCAGACGCACCGTGGCAGTATGCTGTGGAGATGGAGGCAGGGAGTCCCCTCGCATTCCTTGGCACAAATGGCCCATAGCATGCTCGGTTGCTTGCGTAGTAGACGACAGCCGAATAATAACCATCAGACAGAGGGATGACTTTTGGCTGTCCACCTTGTGTCCCCTCGCTACCGTTCAAAAATGGTGGCCTTTTTCACACCTGCTGAGAGGGAGGCCAAAATAACGTACTATAAAAACCACCTATGTAGTCAGTTGGTCTCTGCCTTTCATCGCTGCCAACGTCCATCCTCAGACACTGTGGGCCCTGTGCGCTCGCGTTCCGCTGCCATGGCAGCAGGGGTGGGGTGGGGTGGTAGGAGCAGTGGCAGCTCCACCAGCAGCGGCTGCCTCAGTCTGCAGTCGATGATGAGTAGCTTTCTTCACCAGCGCAGTGAGGAAAATACTAACCAGCCGCCAGCCAGCTGCTGCATCAGGTGGACCTGGAGCAGGACCTCAAAACAACAGGCTTGGGCCTACTTGGACAGCACCCTGCCAACCGAGGTATGGACAATCCCCTTGACTACTGGGCAACGAAACTTGACCTTTGGCCCCAAACTAGCTGAATTTGCCCTTGAAAGGCTGTCATGCCGGCCAGTAGCGTGGCATCGGGCGCGTGTTTAGTGCGGCCAGGAGGTATTGTAACTCCGCGGAGGACACGACTGTCCACCCAAAGTGTGGAGAGACTCACGTTTGTGAAAATGAATCAGGCGTGGATTAGTCTGGATTTCAAACCACCAGTTCCTGACACAACTGACTAAATCCGCCATGAATCATGCCCCAAACATGTTATTATTTTAACATAGGCCTCTTTATGACCTCAATGTTAAGCTGCTTATCGCTTCGCCACTCTGCCATGGGCCCCTGTACCGCCTCCTCTTGCTGCTGCCAGGTCCAGAGTGTGTCCATGGGTCCCTGTACGGCCCTCCCATTGCTGCTGTCTCCATCGCCACACTCTGCCATGTGCCACTTTCAGGTCTCTCACACTGCTGGTGGGTTCCATTTTGTCATAGGGTGCTGGCAGATTACGGGCCTCCCATTGCTGCTGCCAGGCCCGTAATCTGCCATGGGCCCCCGTACCGCCTCCTCATGCTGCTGCCAGGTCCAGAGTTTCTCATGGGTCCCTGTACGGCCTCCCATTGCTGCTGTCTCCATCGCCACACTCTGCCATGTGCCACTTTCAGGTCTCCTCACACTGCTGGTGGGTTCCATTTTGTCATAGGGTGCTGGCAGATTGCTGCTACGGGCCGTCCCATTGCTGCTGCCAGGCCCGTAATCTGCCATGGGCCCCCGTACCGCCTCCTCATGCTGCTGCCAGGTCCAGAGAGGTGTCATGGGTCCCTGTACGGCCTCCCATTGCTGCTGTCTCCATCGCCACATCTCTGCCATGTGCCACTTTCAGGTCTCCTCACATGTTGGTGGGTTCCATTTTGTCATTGGGTGCTGTATGGCCTCCCATTGCTGCTGCCTCCACCGCCACACTGTGGCTCCACACTCTGGTTTTGGCCCCGTGATGCCCAAATGAGTGAAGTGTGCGGTGATTCTAAGATCGACGGCACTCATCTGCATGTCATACTGACTGCCAGTATTTATTTCTCTTCCCCAGCAGACTCCAAGGAACATTTAAATTAAAGGTACAGTGTTCTGCACTAATATAAAGGCTCTCTGATGCCTAGAAGAAACACCCTTTTTATAAGTTAAATTCGCAGCGAAATATATTCGACTCGAATCAAATTTATTCTGCGAATTCGACCGAATCAACCGAATCGAATTTTTGAATACTTCGCTCATCTCTAGATATAATGTATAGAGAAGATATGGCCAGGAGGACCATATCAAAGGCCTTCCTAACGTCTAGGGATATAAATCAGGCTGGTATTTGTCGAGTCTTGCATGCATGTGTGACGAGGACAGCACTATGGAGGTATGAAGCCCACTTGGTTTCTTGTGAACTAAAGAATCAATAATGTTGGTTTAAGTGGCAAGAGAGAATTTTGGCTAAAATTTTGATATCTAGGTTAAGAAGGGAAATAGGTCTATAGTTAGACTAGAAAGTATCATCAGTTTGGGATTTAGAAATCATAGATATGATAGCAGTTAATGTTTCAGTCTAAAAGACTGACCGTCTAGGAGAGAGTTGAATGTGTTTACCATGAAAGGATCAAGAAGATCAGCAAACTTTTTGTAGTAAGTACCCGAGAGACCATCATGGTAAAGGTGCGCATAATTGTATTATTTTAGTGAGTTGATAGCACTGAAAACTTCCGTGACAGAAAGAGGTTTACTCTTAGACATTTGTGATTGCGAGGTGGTAAGCGTTAGACGGGCAA